CCAGGGGAAAAAAAAAAAAAAAAAAGTAATGCGTGATTAATACCACACTAGCCACCAGATCTCAACAATGACACGTCAGCAGTGCTGCTGTCAGTGAAAACTTCTCTCATGGCCTGACCAACTGCGCACCAGATTATTTCATTGCTTTCAGGTGAACACCAACGTAATGGGGGTAATGTTCCACGTATGGAAAGTTTCATGTTGGACAGGAAGCACTCTTTGTAACGATAAGAAAGAAAAGCTGGACACTACTACACCCTTAATGCATGTCAAGCATATTAAACAGGAGGTTGCCTTTTCATTAGTGCAGCAGATATAAAGTTCTCTCTCTCTCATATACACACACACACACACACCTGCCTCTGCTTTATATTTTGCATATAAACAAAGCTATGTCCACATGCTAAATACTGGCCTTTTGATTAATCAGCACTGGAAAAAGCCATTTAAAAGAAGGAAGGGGTGAGAGACCCCACAATTAATATCCAAGGACAAAGAGGGATCATATTCATGCCAGTGGGCACAGCTTGTATGGTATATTGCATATTTCTCCAAAAGGACCCTAGCATTTCCTATACCGCATCAGAGCATTCACACATTGAGGATGGATCATCTTATGGAATGAAGCACACTGAACTAGAACCCAGGAGACTTCATCCAGAACTTTTAACCACCCTCTCAAGATCTCTGTGGATACCACATCCTGATCATCACACTGGCCCACCAACTGGACATCATTTGGGACTTAGCTCTCCCACCAGTACTTAGATCCAAGTCAGGTCTAAATCCAACCACTTTTTTCTGCATTACATCTCTAAGATATGGCCTTTTCCATCCATCTACACAGGTCAATCCCCCACCATCTCACATAATCACTCCTTTTCTCTAGCCTGGAAAAATGCTGCCTTGTCCTGTATACATTGTTCCAAAATGCTGCTGCAAAGATTATTTCCCTTACCACATCACCCCTGTCTGTGCATCCCTCCAATCACTCCATTTTTTTTCTATTGCACCAGGCATAAGCTGCTTGCCTTC